TCTGCGAACGATTCGCAAAGCTACTAAACGTTGCAAGGCTACTCCAGGAAGCCGTCAGCGCTGTAAAACAGCAACCACTGGTTCGTGAACAGTTGCTGCAATTTCTGATGAGTTAAGGTAGATGTAGCAGTGTATGGCGCCAAGCCAATTAGTGGAGAGATTACGTAATGGTGCGGTGAGGTCACGTTAGTTTCGGCGCGACAAACCCCTTTTGGAAATAGTTCACTCGTGAGAAAAGCCCTCAGTGGAAATGCAAGACCCAACATTGTAGCCTAATCCTTTGTTAATTTCAGATGGTGTTTGGCCCATATCGGAAACGATTCGGGACTATGATAATCATAGACATTATAATGGGTCAGCTTTTTTTCAGGAGCATTTCTAAACGGTAGAGGAAAATGGCGATTGGTGAATCCAGATACTTGCCTAGAGAAAAAAATGCAATACAACTGTTGATAGGTATTTACATAAGTGTAAAGTAGTGGATTTCTGGGGAGACCCTTCAATTTTTTTTCTCCTTCAAGTTTTTAGTGTTCAAGGAATTACCTGCATAATAAGCTGATGCCGTAAAAGAGCCACGATCACTTTTAGCCTTGTTCTGCTGGTCGGCCAGCGGTTGTCGAGAATTCAGATACTCGCCCAGAGTACTCGGCGGATCGAACTGTGCCAACGCATCTGCCAGATGGAATGACGAACCAAACTGTTGTGAGAACAGCGAGCCAGCAAAACACAGACAAACAAAAAAACATATACCTGAAAGATCAATCAATATAGGATGCACCACAAATGGGAGCATGTTTCGAGAAAATTTGGCAACCACTAGTACCCTCGTGCTTTCTCCCCCCCCCTCTACCCCCACTCACACTGTTTCCCCATTCACGAACCCCCATGGAAACATTTATAAAACTAACTTTTACTTACCATTCCATTCGAAAACATCTGTGTCCCAATTTTCCAATGAAACTTGTAGAGTAGTTAAAAGGAAAAGGGTTATCAACTATTCGACCAAAATGGAGGTTCAAAGCATTTCTAGCTATCAATTGTCCTCCGCAGTAGCCGAGAATCCTTTTCTGAATCCACTTTTCTGAGTCTGATTTCTTAATTTCTAAACCTAAAAATGTTAACTTAGAAATGAGATAAACTCTGGCTTTCCTTCCGGGGAATAAGCCCATGTCTTTAAATAGAACATCGCACGCTCAAATTGACGCTGGCTTTACTCGATCCTTAAGAAGTCAATCCCAAAAAACAATCATCATAATTTGTCGGTAAGACACAGTATACCCCACCCCATTTGCGAGATACTATACACATTTACTTCGAAGGTAGAAATTCTGGAGCTGCGGACAGAAAACCAAACAATTTCTCTAAGGCGAGGGACTTTTTCAAAGTCTGGACCAGTTAACATCCCACTAGAACATCCAAGCATGCAGTAGGCCCGTACGGCAGACGCCAAAAATTTCGAAGATCAATCCCTGAGAAACATCATGGCACATCAATCGCATTTCAAACCCTATAAAATTTGAATGTGTGGGTCTATGCATAGCCAATTAGCTTTTCTGCACAGTAAACTACCATTTACTCACGTGTTTATAATTACATTTACTCCTCAACTCCTGGCGCAATGAAGCTTGCCGTTCCTTCTCACAGCTAAGCTATGTAAACGTCTGGGGGGAGGGGGGGGGCTTCTGCTACCTCACCGTTTGAGCCAACGACCTAGCCAAACGTTCGTCTCAAATGAATGCGGGTCAAGTAGGCCCACTAAACATGTTGTCTGCACTCTCCTTGCACTTGCACTGACCACAAGTGTACTACAACACCCCGCTATTTAGTTTACCTTGTTGCTCTGCTTAAGCCTAGTTTTTGTTACAGTTTAAAATCATAAGTTACACTCAAGCTATAACCCTTGAGCCCTTATATCCTGAACACCATCTGGACATTCTACAGCCACTGAATAGTGACCCCATAGTGACCAAACGGAGAGCTTTGAGCTCGCCGACAGATGAACAGACTTTTCTCTAACCCTCTCGCAGGGAAACCTGTCCACCCGGCGCCGCAGCCTATACGACGCGCCCTTTATGACGGAGGACAAGTCGCCGTTACACGATGGCTACTGCCTGCGTTCCAGGGAACGGCAGGGCGTGGGTGGAGTCTATCTCCTCATCGCCCTGTCCGGGCCAATACAAAGGTCTATTTAAGAACTCTCGAGTTCTGATGCAAGTGACTTTCGGCGACCTAGGGTTTTTCAGCCCCGTATTGCCGAAATGAACGTCCTCCCTGCCAATTTTTGAAAAGACTCGAAAGAGTCGACACGATCAGCATAGGACCCTAACACTTATTGGCGAGGGAGAATGCATTCAAAAACTGGTCAAAAAAGAACATCATACATCTGCCGAGCGAGAAGTTCCTAATGCACTGATACAACACAGCTTCAATAGAAGGTGCATCAGGATGCCCCAATGATTTCTGCCACCTTCAAACATTTTCTGAGTTAACATTATTTCAACAAAAAGCAATATCTATCAGCAGTATATGAACCATCACAATCAGTGAATAGTTGTTGCCCACAATTCACAAAGAGTCGATCCCGTGTTCCCAAAAATCAGCGGCTCCGAGCTTAAAAAGACACTGAAGTCAATTTCGAGACTATTTTTGAGTCGTATTTTTTATTCTCACAAAACGACTGCTGATCATCAAGAAGGCAAGCAGTGGAGACGAAGCTGGTCACAACTTAAAAACCATGGATTTGGTGTGCGGCGGCTGCGCTCGCAAAATCGCTCTTGTCCCACGCGGTGCAAAAGCACAAAACGCGCGATGTCGTCAACGTGTTAAAGTGCCATGAACTTTTGGGACACCGGAACACAATATATCTAGAAGAAAGCCTCTAACAAATGGGGAAATTGTCCAGTAGAATACCTCACGGACACATCCACTATGAAAACAATACCGCCTAACCAAAGCTCCGAAATTCCTAGAGATAACCCCATTGGAAATTTCGAAAAGAATTTTCGCGAAGATTGTTAAAATGAATAAAGAATCGGACTCCACCACATTTTAACACTATAATCGAAGCGAGAAACGTGGAAGTAAACAGAAAATAAAAATG